AAAAAAAAAACAAACCAAAACCCAGAATCCCAAACTGTTCTCTTCCCCAAACTCTTCTTAGGCCCTTTTTTGTACATTATAAAAACGTACATGAGGGCATAACCCATTTTTTTCCCTTTGTAAGTCACCTTCAACTTAAAAGAAAGCTATTATAAACTGTGAGAGTTTGTCACAGTTTATTTTGGCAAAATTCAAAACTTGCTTTTTGTGATGTAGCCAAGATGATCCTTCTCTTTGATGTTGAAAGAATGAAACCACAGACCACTGATGCAAGTGAAAGGCACTGACCACTGTGAGATTAAGTCATAGGACAGTGAAAACAGCACAGCAGTGAATATGGTATACCACTAACTTCAACATTAAAAAGAAAAATGAGCCTTTAGCAATGTTTGTAAAGGAGTGCTATCTGATAATTTACAGTTAGAGTCTGATTGATGAAGGCCATTTCATGTTATCAAAAAAAGTCCCACAAGACAATTGTACATAATTTTGTTGGACTTCGGGTAGTCCATCTTTTTAAGTGGCTGTCCCTCAGGACTGTTTAGTCTGAGGCTGCTAAGGTAGAATTAGACCAAAATAAACCAGAATAAAACATCCAAAACACTTCCTCAACCTGTTCTTCTCAGACTTTTAGCATTAAAAAATATACTTCAGCTCATCTTGATGTGGTTGACAAAATGTGTTTGTTTTTAGCCTTGTTTCCTGAAGGAATGAAGTTTATGTGGTTATGCTATTGTATGCCTGTCTTTCTGTTAGTTGTCCTGACAACCTCAACAATAAGAAATCTTAAAGATGTGAATCCAGAGACAGATTCAATATACGCAAAGGCTGTGGAAAATAGTAAAGTGTAAGGAGCCCCTCTATAAACATCAGAAGGAGTCACAGTGACCAAAGCAGGTATTGCTCACCCATGGGAAAAGTCTCCGTCAGAGCTTAGTTGGACAGCAAAGCCAACCAACCACAAGACATGAATCCAGACACAACTGTGCTTCACTTATTCCAGTGCTCATGGAAAACTTTATAAAATCAAAATAAAACATTTCCAGTTGTGTTTAAATGAAATATGTAATAAACCAAAGCCTGGACTCACTGAAGTCAGGGTTAGGAAAAGTGAATCCAGTGGCGCATCTGATTGATTTCAGATGTACCTCAGCAGAGCTGTGACCAGTTAGCACTTCCCAATAATTTCCTTCAGTGAAGAGATGGCTGTCACTTCCATGACAGCAAGGAGGAAAGAGAGCTGGCTTTGAATGAAAAGAAAAATTTGGAGTCATAGTAAAGAGGTTTTATTGCCCAAATCAAGACAAGGATATCGGAGAGGTAGCTGCTGTGGAGGGTTTTGAATCACTGTTCAGGAATCTTCCCACCCACAATGAAGAGAAGACTGGATATAGGCTTTTGGCAGAGTTTATTTGGTCACAGTTAGTCACTATCAGCCCTGGTGTGGTACTTCTCAAAGCAGAGAAGTACTTAGATGAGGGGATGGATGCTGCTAACTTCATTTGCAGACATGGTCCAGCAGTGTGCACCTCTATCATGGATGAAATGTGATTCTCCAAGTGAGGAAGGTGGGTTTAGTTGAGCCTTGACAATCTCAACCATACGTTTCAACTGTCATTAGTTAGATCATGATCATGGGCTTTGTTTAGCCCCTCTACATCTCTTAAGTGCTAAACAATTGTGAGCTCAATTCTCCTCTGATACCCAAATTCGATCACTATTGACTATCATGGAAAACCACCTCTAAAAATGAAATCCAAATTTAGCTCTGTAAAGTTCCTGCGGTTTTGTTTCTTTGACAGGTAAGTTCAGGTGAAAACCTAAAGTGCTCCATTCACCTCATAGGAAAATAGAAACCACAGACAGGCTTTTGCCGCCATGTTCCCAACAAGTGTCCTAAAGGAAGGCAAACTGGTTACCACTCCCATCAAATTAAAGGCACAAACAGTTGGAAGAATGTGAAATGAAAACAGGAGATCACCAAAACAAAGGATTAAGTGACAGTAAAATAAACACATGGTGATGCTTCTTTATTACCATTACGCACATGATAGATGAGTAAAATTGGGTTATGCTTATATTGTAATGGAACAAAATAATTGCTGCTTTCTATCAGGAAACCACAAAGCACTTATTGATCTGTCATCCTAAGGGTATGTCTAGGAATATTTAATAAAATAAATAGAGACAAATAACTCTTTTAAGGCCCTGTAATTGTAATGTCCCACACCATTTGGCTTAAAAAATTTTGGCAGGATTAAAAATAACACCACATCTCTCTGATTAGGAAGGGTTGATGTGGCTTATTTAGATAATCTCACAGCATGGAGGAAATAATTGTTATATTGCAAGTAGAATGTGCCTGAATATTTTCCCTAAAAGTCAGGCACCAGAATCTGTTGGATTGGTTCAGTCATTTTTTCCTCTGGAAATGCTATGTGAAATGGCATACAGCGTTCTGCCTGGCACAAAGCCTGCTCCCATCCATGCAGATTTTGTGCAAGCTTCTCTATAGGTTCTAACACCTCGGAAGAATAAACAGAGGGTCTGGGTGATGAGCACTGACCCCCTTTAAAACAGTCTTAAACCATAGTAGTAAGGTGACAGGCTGCATCCCCAATCCGGTTCTGCACTCAGTGCCTGTCTGCTGAAAGCCCAGGTGGTGGCCCGAGGGTCCCTGGTGTGCCCTGTACTAT